GACAAAGACCTAAAATCTGCATACCCCATCTGAGACAGGACATGGTAGGATTAACTCACAAAGAGCACGCCCAAACTCAGGTCAGAATACATGACACAGGAAATAGCCTCAAAACAGGTGTGGGAAGTCAGCCCCCCCAGAGATGGAAATATTAAAAGGGCAGAAAAGTATATTTTCTCAAAGGATCTTAAAGAGGCAGAAAAGCATGCCCAGTTTTCTTAATAGCCCCCAAGTCTCCCTACCCCAAGCAGAAACCAGCTCTATAGAAATGCAGATGTAAATCCAGGGAGCGAGGAGATTAAGAAGACAAAGACCTAAAATCTACATACCCTATCCAAACTCTAAGAGTCATCAGCCACAGGGAAGCAGGATATGACCTTTGGCCATAATAAGATTGACCCATCACCATCAGAATACCAGGAAAGGCACACTCAGACTCAGGTCAAAGGTCATGCCACAGGAACAACTCCAAACAAAAGGATCCAGAGGGTATAAAAACCTACTCCCTACATGTGTTCACCCCTTTTTTTTTCACTTCTCTTGCTGCCAGAACCATCTTCCTGTCTGGCTCTCCTCTCCAATAAACTACAACCTTCTTCCCAAAGCAGTTGCCATGTTTATTCCCAGCTTGGATGAACCGTGATGAAGACCTTTCTTCCGACACAGGAACAGGAAATAATTCCAAACAAAAGGCTCCAGAGGGTATAAAAATCCGCTCCCTACATGTGCTAGTTCCTTTTTCTGCCAGAGCCATCTTTCTGTCTGGCTCCCCTCTTCGATAAACTACAAGCTTCTTCCCAAAGCAGTTGCCATGTTTATTCCCAGCTTGGATGAACCAGGATGAAGACTTTCTTCCAACAGAACCTCCAAATTTTCTGTTGCTAAGTGAGACAGATGTTAAGTGAATTTTGCCCCATTTTACAAGCTTTCTTGATCAAAATTCAAAGGCTTGACTCATATCTATGACGGTGGAAGAGTCCCGGGATCACGTGATCCCCTTTTGTAAACTTCTGTCAAGCAAAGTCACTGGGGAAGCCAGATTCATTGACCAATTACTGCGATTCACTTAACATCTGTGGCAAGACAGCTCGTAAAATTGAGCAAAACTCACTTAACAAAGGTCCCACTTCGCAACAGATACATTTATTTCATTTCATAAATAAAAATGTATTTAAATAAATTGAATACACTTAAATGTTTAGGCAATCCATCA